TCAGCCAAGGCAATATTAAAAAGTGTAAGCGGATCCTTAATACATTAAATAATGCAAATTTGCTTCAAAATGATGCTTTTGTGTTTTTCATGGAAACAAGACCAAAATAGTGATTAGGGAAATATATATTTTTTCTTTACAGTGCAGTGCAGGCCCAGAGAATTCAAGGAACTGCTGGATTTTGTGTGTTAGAGGGTTTGGATGAATTTATACCGGGGTCTCCGTGTTTTCTCCGTTTATTTGTGACAGTGGCTGAGAAAATATGAGTTTATTTGTTTGTTTAAATGTGGGTGTGACTGTGTAGGTGTCTTTTGTGTGTATGTGTGCAGTGAGAGCGCAGTTGCTTCTCTTCCAGAGGCAGTTTGTGATGTCCCTCCTCTGTGTTCCTGCAGATGGAGACAGATTGGAACGGTTACTGCAACAGGCCTGCTTTCACTTAGACAGGAGACAGCCGTGTGTATGCATGTGTGTGAGCCTGCCATAACCACTATTCCTGCCACTATCCTCTGTGGCTTCTTTACACACACAGTTTTTCCACTGTAGAATGGGAGTCTTTTCATATACAGTTGTCTGTCCTCATTATAGCCAGGAATCACAGATAACTGTCATCCACCAGAGCAGTGAACTACGAGAGGATTATCGGTACAAAAAGGACTATATAGAGAAAATGATAAAGGTAATTATTAGTTTAGTTTATGGTATTGCTGCTGTAGAGTAGGTTTTTTACACTAAGCGCCTGGTTCAGGGTTATAAAGTTTGGTTTCTTGTTAGGGCAACAGATTTGCACTGCAAAAATCATTTTCTCAATCAGTGTTTTTGTTTTATAAAGTGTTAATATTTTTAAAATAAGATAAATTTACTTGAGAATCAAAATTGTGTAAATGAATATCCTGTTTTCATAGAATATGATATTGCTTAGTTTCTTACTCTTAGTTCACTGAAAATGTTTTGAGCATGAACTTTACAAAATTTTGTAACATTTTGCCTGAGGGGGTTTTATCAATATACATTAAACATATATTATCTAAAAACAACCCCCTTATTTTATTTTATTTCGATTTTAGAACTATTATATAGTTTTTCTTCAAAACAAGAAAAAAATACATTATACAAAACACAAACACACGCACGCACGCACGCACGCACGTACGCACTTTAAACTACTTAGTTTGTGTTTTCATACATGGGACCTCAATTTAGGTCCCCACCGTGACACGAGTCCCCATGAGTCTGTGTGTATTCAGGTTTAAGTCCCCACCAGAATAGAAAAACAGGTACACACACACACACACACACATACACACACACACACACACACACACACACACTTCACTGCAGGCTCTGGGATTTAACATGAAAATATCAGACTCCCCTCAGGAAACTGGTATGGTGGTTTTGGCCCCAGCGTGTGGTCTGGCTTTTCACTCATCATCTTCCTGCCAAAATCATTTATTTCATTGTCATAATCATTTATCAAAGACAATACAATACTCTGTTAAGGCTCACAGCTCAATCGATGTACAGTCACATCTATCATGAGGACTGAGAGAAATCCAGACAGACAGAAAGAAACAGTAAACGAAGGATATTCAATCAACCATCTGTAAAATTTAAAGCTGAATGATGTCATTTTTAGGTGTTCAGATTCTTAAATCTTAATGTACAGCTGCGAATAAACCAGTTTTATGTTGATTTCCCGGAGAAGTGCTAAAAGTTGTAAACTGTGGCTTTATCAAAACATGTTTGTTTTGACCATCCTGACCAACAATGATTCAACCAATGGCATGCGTTTGGGGCAGGGCTATCTGTCTAATGGTTCAATGTCAGAAAACTGTCATTATTTTTGCATTTCCATTTGGTACCACTAGTGACATAGAAATTGCAATTAACCTAAATTGACTTCAAAGAATCAGCAATAGTTCAAAAGTTTGTTAAAAAATAATACATTTCTATGGTACTCTTCCCATAGCAGTGCATAGATATTGTTTAGCTCCCTCACACACACAAACAAATGCTCACATACAAATCACATCACCGATCCCCTAGAGTGTGTTGGTGGCACAGACAGCAGAGTTGCACTACACAGAATGCTGCACCTCTGTGTTTCTCATTAGCATAGTGGTCTGGCCCCCTGATTAGCCACGATCATCACAAACAAGACATCAGTGATGCGAGGTGAGGCCCCACAAGCCCCTGGGAGCCCCAGATCACAGGCATGCTAATGAGGGCTCGTGTTACTGCGGTGTGAGGTGTCAGCCAGGCTTGTGACAGGTGCACAGAAGGGACGTTTTAATGGGGGGGGGGGTCCGGAAGGGAGTGAAGGCGTGTCGTAGTCCCCATGGCATCCCCTCGTCCTTTGTTCTTTATGCAAATCCATTGCTGTGGCTTTCGACAGCTAGGAATGTAGCGGGTTCGAGGGGCAGAGCTGCTAGAGTGCCAGGCCCGAGTTGTACACACACACATGCATATGCATATGTTGTTGCACTGCTATTTTAGAATTGTGACATCATAAAAGTTGTAAAAACTCGCATAAAATTCCTTGCACTGTGGTATTATCAAGTGTTGATATCGTCGTCGTCGTAAAAGTTTTACGTATTTACAAACGCTCATATATCCCTGCATTGACATCATCATACAAGTTGCATGCATTCACAAATGCACTTTGCGATATGATTACCAAATGCTTAGAGCACACAAATAGATGCCTTTGCGTTATCACACTTTTGCATAAACTCATATGTTGTGTGTTGTGACATCATCAGGCAAGTTGCACAGATGCACTTTTTTTGCAATATAACAAGTAAAACTCATATGACAATGCAATGGCATCTATTTGTATGCAAATGCATGCAACCCAACATGTTGTACACATTTGCACGCACATAGATGCTCTTGTGTTGTCACATGAGTTTTAAGCATTTGCATACCCTCATATGTCATTGCATTGTGGCATTATCAAATACGTTGCACACATTCATACATGCACGTCGTTGCGATGTGACCATCAAAAGAGTTGCACGCATTTGCACACAGATATATTTGCATTGTGGCATTATCAAACCAGTTTCATGCATTCGTACATGCTCATATGTCCTTGCGTTGTACCAAACGAGCTGCACATTATCTCACACACATATGTCCTTGCATTGTGACAACATCAAACGAGTTTCACGCATTCGCACATCATCACATGACTATTCCATTAGTCCAGCCTCAGTAAGTGATTGGTTCATGCTCGGGTAATGCTGGAGACAGCAGTAGCTAACACTAATGTTGCTTCCCTTGTGAAACAGCAGTGCTCGCAAGTCTGCCAGATTTGTTCGCAGATAATTAAAAAACACCCTCCAGCCCCTCCTCCTCACTCCGCTGTCACTGCATTCATGCTCTTAAAAGGAAATTAATTGCCACAAAATGTTGAAATCAACATATCTAAACCCAGGTTGGAGATCCCCAAGGATGGACTAATTGGCCGTGAGGTTTTGTAATACTAAACCCGAGAGAGTGGATAAGATTAGTGTAAGACCCCCTCTGTGTGCACACGCTCGTGTGTCATTAATCACATATCCTATACACACACACACGTACAAAGACATGCACGTAGACATCCCAGCACTGTTTAACACAATGAGGACGCTGCTGCAGAGTCGTTAGCACCATGCACACCAACAGCCAGCTCTGTAATATAACTGCCACAACTCAATTTAGCTGTTTAACCTGTAATCCTGGCAATATTTATTGAAGTGCAAGAGGGAAGAAAATTAGGCTATTAGGCTCTTGCAATTGAATACACTGAGAGGAGAAAAGAAACTCTGTTAACTGGCAGTTGACCTCTGCGGCCCGCAGCGAACGGTTTCGTGAACGCGGACCACGGTAATTACTGCAAATTGAATCACAGAGCGAACAGCGATGATTCCGTAATGAGCACTTTTATTGGCTGGAGCTCTTTGCTGTGACATGGTCCTCCCAGGCCTCTGTAGTGTGGCACACACACACAGTAGGACCCAATGGACCATGATCAGACGGAGATTTGTGTTCCTGAGGTGCCTGATGGGTAATTTCACACCATCGTGCCACACAAGCTGCTGTCACAAGACATGGATCTCTGATGGGTCATTAGCATATCCTAACTTATTCACTATGGGTTTCTCTCCCTCGTTCTGGCTTGTTTGGAAAGTTGATGAAATTTGTCTTTGGTCATCATTAAGTCTGCCTGTCTGTTAGCTGATACGGTCCCTTAATAACATATGGTGTTTTTTGTATGATGTGATAGGATGCAAATTGCAATAGCGAATGCTCTATTGCACACTTTTTGTCCATCCCACATTATGTTGAGTCTTTTACAGCCATCAGAGGGATATGGGATGTTAATGAGGCTTTTTTGGAACTAGAGTTGGGCGTAGAATATGTCCGTTGTTGATTTTATCCAGACTTGGGCTCCTGTCCAGGGCCTGAAAATGAAAATGAACAGCCTGTGTGTATTTTAGTATCTAATCTCTGCCACCTCTTTTTTCATGTCCCCTCAGTTTCTCTCTCTGTTACTCTCTTAGCGTCCAAAATCCCTCCCGCCAGGTGTCCATTTAAAGGCCAGCCAAACCAAACACAGGCTGTGGACCTGTCATGCACAACTGCTTCCACATTCAGTGTCCTCCACTTTTCGTTTTACTGCATCAGTCAGGTGTTTATTAGGCAACTATATAGAACAAAACAAATAATAATAACATGAAAGTATTTTTTCATTGAGGTGAAGTCATGCACATGACTGCATTGGCATGCATTTCAAAGTGCATTTCACTGAAAATATCCCATCACACAAATGTAACTTTGTCAGTAGCTAACTGTGCACCTGACTATTGGCGCTTTTCCACTGCATGGTACGGCACGGTACGGCTCGGTACGGTTCACTTTTGGGGGGTTTTCCACTGGGTACAGTACCTGGTACCTGGTACTTTTTTAGTACCACCTCGGTTGGGGTTCCAAGTGAACCGTACCGTTACCAAAACGTGTCGTGTAAACTCTGCTGATCACGGATTGGCCGGAGAGAATCGTCACTACCTGCGTCACTGAACTTGCGACACAAACACAAAAGAACCGCCAGATTTAAATCAGCGCAGCCAGTGAAGGATCGAACGCAACTGTTTTGAACGAGCGCACCTTTTTTAACAACCAAAAAGTTTTGTTGTCTGTTGCGGAAGAACAGACGTTCCTCTCGTTGATAGGAGAGGAGCGGATTCAGCGGATCCAGAGCTTGATGAGGCAACGCGGAATGAAAAAGTTTTTTTTAGGAGTCGTGGTAGTAGAGGCGGCGCAACTATAACGACATGTGAATAATCCCGCCCACTCTAAAGCGGTACTGAACTGCAGTGGAAACGCAAACCGTGCCGTGCCGTGCCGTACTGAGCCGTACCGAGCCGAGTCGTACCACGCAGTGGAAAAGCGGCATATGTCAGTGTATGGACCTGTCAACACGATTCCCTTTCATTTTCTTTCTTTCTTAATCCTCTCTTTCTCTTTCTTTTGCCACAGAATTATCTCCATATGGAAATAGTGAAGGGTGGGGGTGTCGGGGTGTTGAATGGGAGTTCTATATTAACGCCTGGCTGACATTAGTATTAACACAATGCATTGTGGCCTGTGGGCGATACCTGCCATCTGCATTAGGCTCCAGCCCTTAGGGAGCTTCCCTGATCTCACTAGCCCCCTAGTGTGACTCAGATTCTGGGTGAGTCACATACAGGCAGATCGTCTTTGACACAGCTTTAGAGAGCAGCCGGCCCTGCCGCACAGTAGATAACCCGCTAGGCTATCAGAGAGCTCTTGTCTCCCCTCTTAGAGTGATGTAATTTTCATTCAATCTTATAAAATGGCTGTCGCCGCACCGCAATGAGATGTCTTTCACATGTTGCCTGTTTAATTTTTAAACAGAAATGATCCATGAACCTCACCATAGAGGACTCTTAGCTTTGATTACATTCAAAGCCATCACTGAGAAAAAACAGATGCGCAAATAACATGGAAAGCTTTTAAAGTGTGCTATCTCAACCTCCCCTAGCACCAAATCAGAGAATTAATAGCTAATATGTATATATTAATTCTGTCCACTTGTTTTGTGTCTTCCAGGAAAAGATGAGCCCTCCAGCTACATCTGCACCACTTGTAAGCAACCCTTTACCAGTGCATGGTTTCTGCTGCAGCATGCACAGAACACCCACGGGATACGCATCTACCTGGACACCCACCCTACTAGCTGTTCGCTTACCCCTCGCATGGCTCTTCCTCCACCACTGGGGGCTGACGCCTTGCCCCGTTCCCCTCTAGCCAGCTTTCTGGGCGATGGCAGCAACCCTTTCCATCTGTTGCGTATGGGTGCCCCACTGCTACGAGATCCTCCACCACCCGGATACATTGAAACCCGATTGCCATCTACCCCGCCCTTTGTAAGCCCTCCGCCACCCCGCCATCCTCTGGAACGTCTTGGCCCTGAGGAGATGGGTCTCCTGTCCCAGCATCCAAGTGCTTTTGAGCGGGTGATGCGGCTGACACCCATGGGCATTGAACCATCCATGGGCTTCTCTCAGCGTCTTCGTGAATTGGCAGGCAACAACAACAATGGTGGTCCCACTCCCCCTCTTTCACCTAACCGTGTGCCCCCCATGCATCGGCTTCTCAGCCCCACTCTGTTCCAGTCTGGCTCCAAACCTCTACCTTTTCTAACCACACCCTCACAGCCGCCATCAATTCCAGCCAGAGGCAATTCTTCACCACCACTAAATCAGGTCAGCAAAGCTAAGTCCTGTGAGTTTTGTGGCAAGACTTTCAAGTTCCAAAGCAACTTGGTTGTGCACAGACGTAGCCACACTGGCGAAAGACCCTATAAGTGTCATCTCTGTGACCATGCATGTTCGCAGGCCAGCAAGCTAAAGCGCCACATGAAGACGCACATGCACAAGTCAGGCTCCATGGGGAGTTCACCTGAGCAGGGAGGGCAAGACTCGGCTGGAGAGGGGCTTAAGAACAGTGAGGAAAATGGCACGAGGGAGGTATTGGATAATGAGGAGGAAGAAGAAGAAGAGGAGGAGGAAGAGGAAGAGGAGGAGGAAGAAGAGGAACAACAGCAAAATGGAAGCAGGCCTGAAGCCAACCTGAGCATGGACTCGGAGTTGTGCAGAAACAGAGAGAATGGCCCAAGACCCTCCCCAGAGGAGAAACCAATGACCACTGACAGAGTGACAGAAAGCCAATACAACAACCTTGACAATCACTTCAGACTGCCACCGGGCAGCAGGCCATGCAAGGAGATGGACACAGATTCGGCATCCAGAGAGACTGACAGAAACAGGGGGCCCATGGTGAATGGCAGAGGCTGTGGCCCGGAGGATCCCATCTCAGCATTGTTCCACCGGAAGCCAATGCCTATTTCCAGCTCCAGCCTCACTGGGTCTTCCGCCAAGAGGATCAAAATAGAGAAGGATGCGGAGCTGCCTCAGGTGCCCGTAATATCCCCTGAAAATGTGTATTCTCAGTTGCTTGCCGGTTATGCTGCATCCCACCACTTCATAAGGGAGCCCTTCCTGGGCTTCAACGACTCCAGGCAGTCACCTTTTGGCACTTCTTCCGAGCACTCTTCATCGGAGACAGGCAGCCTGTGCTTCTCCACCCCTCCAGGGGAAATTCTGGAAGGCGGTGGGATGTCGGGGCGAAGTGGCAGCAGTACACCTCACCTCCATCTGCGGGGTCCTGGGCCAGGGAGACCACCCTCCAAGGAGAGTCGACGGAGTGACACCTGTGAGTACTGTGGTAAGGTGTTCAAGAACTGCAGTAATCTGACCGTGCATCGGCGCAGCCACACAGGTGAAAGGCCTTACAAGTGTGACCTGTGCAGCTACGCTTGTGCCCAGAGCAGCAAGCTTACCCGGCACATGAAGACCCATGGGCAGTTTGGCAAAGAGGTGTATCGCTGCGATATTTGCCACATGCCCTTCGGCGTGTACAGCACCCTGGAAAAACACATGAAGAAGTGGCACGGAGAGCATTTGCTGACCAATGAGGTCAAACTTGAGCAGGCTGACAGAGCTTGAGACCACTTACCAATGCACTGCATTATGGGTTTTAGCTGGATAGTCGTTTTCTTGACTATATATTTTTTGGAGTGATTTTATTATTATTTTTTTTTTGTGAAAACAAACTGCCACCTGAGAAACAAGAACACAGGGAAATGTTAGTCTGCGGTTCTAAAACCCTTCTTGCATATCCCAGCAACTAACAGAGGAGTAGTCCATTAGGAATTCATGGAGCCTTTCTACTGTGCAATAATTTCTGTATTTATTGGATTATTTGTAATGATACATGGCATGTGCAGGTACATTATCGATGGGTTTCTAATGCATTCAGTTCCTGAAATTATATTTCTACACCCCATCTTATGATGTGACAAATACTGAGATTTTGGCATTCAGCCAGTTTTGTGTTATAAACTAGTTTCCTCAAAGGAAACAAATGGGTAATTTCTAAAAGAAGAGGTCAGCTTCTAAAAATCTGAGAAGGTTTTAATGTTATTGTTGCTGTCATTGGCCCCACTCATCATGGGTTATATTCAGTAGATAGATGTAAAGCACTGAATGTCACTTTGACAATAAAATAGTCAACAATTTTAAGGGGCAAAAAACCCAGGGATGTTTAAAGGAAGCTGATAGGCAGTTTGACTGCATCTGAATGATATTCTGTTGACAAGCTTTGAAATGAATGAGACGAAATAAATGCAAGTTCATCAACCATGACATTTATGAGAATGATACCGTGCAAATGACAACAAAAATGACTATATTTCCTCCACATTATTATGGTTCCCGTATATAAACAGTGTTGAGGCTACCAGTGTTGCATTACCGACATATTTTTTCAAAAGGCTGACATTTTTTAAAGCCCAGATTTTACTTTTAAAGATCAAAATGTTTACATTCACTCAAATTAACATCCATGCCATTTCGTCCAACTTCATCTATCCCTTAATTCTATTTGATTGCTTTCCAAACCTTCTACAAGGTCAAATCCTTTCATATGTTAATGGACATATTATAATATGTTTATTGTGCAGTCTTGACTAATTCAACCTGGATTCACTTGTTAAGGGAAGCCATTAGCTTGTTACATATCAAATTGTTATCATAGGCTCATATGGAGGATTTTTTAACGCTGCATTCCTATTAAATTATTTAAGAGATGTGTTCATGCACAAATCAATCTATCATGGAATCAAAAATGAATTAGCAGCTATTTGGACACCAATATAAAGCACAGGTGCTAACCTGTAGAAATCATTTGAGTAAACACACACACACAGGCCATTAAGCTGTAGCAGCATTATACGCACCATCCTGTGCGTTGTTGAAACCGCAATCACTGAATTGTGTTGGGGCTCTCTAGAAGCCCTGGGTGACTGCCTGTCCTCTAAAGGATCCTAGGATTAAATGATTTCCTCATTACGACCTCTGTTCCTACACACTGAATCGCCTCCACCTGTCTCCTTTCATACATCATCAGCTCAAATTTACACCACAGTCCTCACCTCCACCCCGCATACGCCACTGTTCTCTATCTGCGTATTCACTATTTACAACATCCTGCCGTTTATATTCATGGCTTTTTACAGTTTACATTTTATTTTTGACTTGAATAGAAAGTTGAATTTAAGCTACGGCTGCACATGTTGCCCGCTTGAAATCAGTCAGCTGGGTACATCATAAAGAAATGTACAGCACAATGATGAGAACCATTTTTAAATACGGATGTGTAGTTTATCACCTACTTGTCAGATACTTAGCAAACCTCTCTTTGCGTAAATGACAGGAAGTGGCCATAACTTGAAAGAAAATCAGGAGGAAATGTGTTGTAGTCAAGAAAGCATGTCGAATTTAAGTGCTACCAATGGCTTTCGGAGATAGACGTAACCAGACAACACGGACGTGCCTCAAATTAATATTCAGCCTTTATCTTCTGATGTAGTTCAAACTCCT